GAAGTAGCTGTTAAATGTTTGATTTCTTCAGCTAGATCTGTAGCGCCTGTGCTTCTTAACATTTAAAACAGCTGACAATATAAAACAACGATTACTTTTGAAAACTTTTACTGAAAAATATTGGTAAACATATTCGTCTTATTTTATTTAAAAAATAATTAATAAGAACTATAATCTAACATTCTCATACTTATATTATAATATAATTTGCTTAATAAATAAACTAAACTAAACGACTTACGATTGCTTTTTTTTTAAATAATGCCGATATATCGAAATTTGTTTCAATATATAAAACTCCGATATTGACTTAATGTATATTAACTCACGATATATATGACTCCGATATTGATACATTTATAATTATCGATATATCGAAAATCCGACATTCTAAAAATATCAATAACCCTGGTTTGAACCGATGGGTTGGAATGATCAGTTGAACTGACCGTGTGTGTGGTAACTTCTTTGGCTTAAATCCGTTTGAACTGATATCAGTTCAACTGATGACTTTAACTGACAGTGTGGCATCCATAATTATAGGCCTATATTAAACCTTCACCATTTTTTCAATCCTGGCAGTCAGTCGTTACACAATGTCAGATTTTTATAACTAATAATTAAGTAAAAAATTGGTCAGGTTGTGAAGGCCCATTATTAATAATTACTTCTATATAAAGCCGTCAAAAATTATCTTAGAAGTAATATTTTAAACATAAAAAAGCTAAGTGAACGGCGTTCACTTAGCTTGTGAGGCACTACCAACGGCTTTCAATTACTCTAGTGAATATACATTCTTCCAAAAGACACCTAAAATAACTTAGTTATTAAACAAACAAAACGTAAATGAGGGTCCTAACTAAGACGATCACGCCATAAATAATATCATACAAAATATATAAGATGAGGAATGACGTTACAAGGTGAAATCGTCACGCTTGGCAAACGGATTGACGAACCCAGGGCCAGGCGTCCTGTACCTTTGACGCTGCTGCCCGCGCCTAACATTCGGCCGTGGGTATATCGCCCTCTATCGGAAGCCATAAGTAGACCATATTAGTATTACACTTGTCAATCGATCATTTGTATTGACCCGATCGTTCAAGTATTGATACATCATACGAACCCGGTCATCCGGGTCGGGGGTGCAATCATAGGTTACACATCATAAAGGTTCTGCCCATCGCTTATTCCTGATTGTTCAGAAAAATTATGCGATTCGACCCGGGTCAAGTGATCGAATCTTTCACGATTGACACAACATGTCTAATTATTATTATGGTAAATGATCATGATAATAAATTTTGACATTTTCAGATGGCTCGCATCGCGAGGTAAAGTAAACCAAGCTGTGAAAGTTCTGAGAAGGTTCGAGAAAATAAATGGAAGGAAGATCCCCCAAGACGTCATGGAGGATTTTATTGTGAGTGATATTTTTAAAAGTTAATATTTGTAATTTAATAGTTGATGTGTTTTTTTTTAAATATAGAAGTATATTAGTAATACCAGCATAAAATAGTAGCTTAGGGCTGCTGTTTCGTATGTTGAGCGTAGAGAACCGCAGAAGCTTTTTACTGAAAAGGTGGCATTAATTAATTGAGGCGACTTTGGCAATTAATCTGTGCTTTATTGCGTTAAATTTTTTTTAAATGCATAATTCTTGATATTTAAGACTAGTTAAAATTAATATCAAAGACTTCTAATAATGTAGTCTAAAATCAGAGAAAGTCAAACAACAAAACACTTAAATAGGAACTACTGAAATTCGTTAAAGAATATTCATTCCAATTCAGTCAACGTGTATGAAAATTTATCTGCTCTTTCAATCTCGCTCTAATTTAGTTACTCTAAACAACTACAATCGAGGGGCTATTGTGCACCACAAAAAGTTGCCTAAGTAGTAGTATAACCTCAGATTAATAAATAATTGCTCTTGATTGCTCACAAAACGCTCAATTTAAATCTGCAATTACTCACACTATTAATTAATTATTAAACTAGTTAACTAAAAGTACAAAATTGTTTTTGCCTATTACACGTGAACAAATAGACGTTTCTTAAAAAGAATAAGTAATTTATATTTCTCACAAAATATTCAATTCAAATCCTTAATTGGTCACACTATTTATTAATTATTTAATAATAATAAAAAGTTAAAATTGTTTTTGACTATTATAGTTAAACCAATAGTTTTCTTAAAATGAACAAGTGTCCTTAATTGCTTACAAAATGTTTAATTCAAATCCGCAATTGCTCACACTATCAATAAATTATTTAATCAGTTTTTAATATTTAAAATAACAAAATTGTTTTTGTTAAAACCTAACCTAAGATAAACGAATCAGTGCCAGGCCTCTGTCAATCTTGCTACCTGCGTGAAATAATTATCTAAAATCGCGACGCACCCAGGGTGAAATATACATAGGCATGTCGATTCACTCTTAAAAAAATCGATCTCTGAATCGATTTGAATCGAAGGTACTTGAATCGATTATTGATTTAATCGAGGATTAAAAGATCGATTTTCGATTAATCGCGACTTTTTAAACATGAAATTTCAAGAATTTTCGATTTTTTTTCTTTAGCTTCTAAACTGTTTTTTAAATTTTTTAAATAAAATATTAGTAATCTTATTGATTAACATTACCAATATTCCTTTTAACCACTCTTGGTAAGATTGAAACGCTTGTATTAGGAGTGGTTCGAACATACTCCACTCGATCCCTTTTTTTACAAAGTGATTCCACGTAACACTTTTACATTTTAGGCTAAAAACAACAACAATACTTTAACAGAAGTGCAAACTGCAACGTACATTTCTTGATAAATCTGTTTCAATCTAATAACTCACTATTTATCATATCGAAATGAATGCTACACGAACACAATAATACCTACAAATATGTGTACTTTATTTATTCTGTATCAGTGTTCTTAATTTATCTTAATGCAAATCCGCAATTTTTCACACTATTAATTAATTATTTAACTAGTTATTAATAATTAAAAGTACAAAGTAGATTTGCCTATTATACGTAAACCAATAGATGTTTTTTAAAAAGAATAAGTGATCTTTATTGCTCACAAAATGTTCGATTCAAAACCTTAATTGCTCACACTATTTATTAGTTATTTAATTAGTTATTAATAATTAAAAGTACAAAATTGTTTTGCATATTATACATAAACTAATAGACTTTTCTTAAGACGAGTAAAAGTTTTTAGTTACTCACAAAATGCTCAACAAGATTGGCTACATCTTGAAGCGAACTTCTATTAGAACATTCTACAAGCCGCCGAAGATCTCTCCAAGGTGCGGGAGTGTACAAGCTCGATTGTGAATGTGGTCTCTCCTATATAGGGCAAACCGACGGGTGCAAAGTAAAAAGGGTCATCTACAAAACAGCTACTTTTCAGGAGAGCGCATAATAGGAAAAAATGCTCCCATTTTGTCAATTTTAAACCAAATTTATTGAAATTTTCATCATTGCTTCATTATTTAATAATGTATCCACATGTATATTTCATTTCTTCTAATTATGTTTAATTTACGAGATATTGTAGTTGTCTGCATCTACATTGCGCTTAAAAATATGACAACTGTGTTAACTACCACTTGGCCGTTTCTACGTGGGGATTCAAAGATTTAGTAAAATAATTTACTAAGTCTTTGAATTCCCACGTAGATTAGTATATTTCAGTAAATACGAAAACTGTAACACTTCCTATTATTAAAATTAGTTAATGACCGTTTTACATCTTGTCTTATCGGATCTTTGGTTGAGAATTCAACAGTAAAATTATAATTACAGCCTTCGTTAGAAAAAAAACAATTAAAATTAAATCTAGAAAATTCTAAAATTTTCATAATTTATAAAAAAATAACATCAGTCATAATAATCAAGTTTGGTTCGTTTCCATGACCACAGTGGTAGTTAACACAATAATAAAAATAAATACTTTAAAGTACGTTCTATTCGTATATTTTTTTAATAAAAATAGTTACGTATATCACATAAGATAAAAGTAAGTAGAAAATTAAATTCTAAACAATAATTAAACTCTGTATCAATACTTAAAAAAATTACGAAAGATTTTTTTTTAATTATTTTAAAACCAATTTAAAAATTATTCAGTCTCATTACCGTCAGTACAGGAACTATGTTTCAAATTTTTATAAAAGTTATGATATCTAGGAGGTATCAGATTTTGCTGGCAAAGGCTTATTAAGTCTTTGTACTTGGCACTTGTAATCATGATGGGTCCATTATAACATTTTTTGGGATCATTAAAGCCACGGTGGGAACGAGTAGTTACTTTTCGCACCATTTCAATTCGCTTGTGTTCTTCGTCATTTAGATCATATTTATAAAATATTGTGTAAGGATTCTCTGCTTTAACGACTATTTCTCGAACTGATTCCACTTAACATTCTCATTGTCTGTATTTTTTGTCAATTTAAAATCATACAAACATATTTTGAAATCCAAAATTTGGTCTTGTGTTATTTCTATAACCTCATAAGCATCGCCGGACGTTTTACACCACCGAACGAGTGTATACCATTCTTCAGGACAAAAATGAACTTTCTCTTCGACGATTTCTCAATTAATGCGTGGACACTATCGCCTTGACGATTACTTATCGACACTATTGCTGGGTGTGACCCTTCTCCAAAAATATGTGATGAATATCAATGCTATGCTTTTGAGAGTAGTATACATACATCAGAAACACAATACGGTTCCTGTTCTAACCGCGACAGTTATCAGACCACAGGCGGATATCTTTGATGCCTCTATTAGTTGACTGTTGTATAAAATTATAAAGGCAACCAGTCACTTCGTTCGAACCCCGCTTAGCTATAGTTTCAGGCCACATATAACATATTCCTTTTTTTAAGTCCCATATCAAAAACAGTAAAATTAAAGACAGAAAGTTTACGCTTATAATAAAATGAACTGGTTTCTCCGTGTGGTGTCGACAAAATTTTTTGAAAATCAAAGGTACCTAGCCGAAGTTACAGTTTCAGGATTAGAAGTAGCTTCATTTTTGTCTTGTTTCTTCAAAGATCTCGCTATATTTTTATCTTGAATATGTTTATTGTACTGATCTTGTGCTCTGGTTTGTGAAGGAAGGCAATTTTTAAATGCTATACACACGTCGCACTGGTCTTTTTTAGGAATGTAAAAGGCTATGTTCATTTCCTTGTTAACTATGTCTCGGTAGTGGCGCGCTATGAGTACCCTCTCCACAATACTATTTTCTTCTGCCTAAGTCTGGTACAACTTAAACATCGTGGATAAATTTAAATCAGCCAAGTAAACTTTGTTTGTGTTTTTTCTTGTGTAATGTGACTCCACTGGTTGAAACGAGTTTACATGATCACACACACCTTTTATTATGGCGGCTGTGCAAACCTTGTTTTTATTGTTATGACGACCTCTGAAGTCTTTTTCACAGTTACCAGTACTTTTATCATATTTATCAAGAGCACTCTGTATAAACTGATTACTTACCGACAGCGTATTCTTGAACATTGTTTTGCATACTTTTACAGTTCTAGGGCTGGTTTCCTTTAAATTCATTGGAAGTGTATAGTTTACACTGTGTTGGCGTTTAGAATCATTCTCTGTAGTAATTCTTCGTATCATACAACATTTTGTATATTTACCTATAAAAACCCATTGCTTTTCGTGATCACAGAGATCCCAAAAACGATCAAAGATAAGTTTTCTATCTTCGTGAGATATTTTTGCGCTACAGTTAAACTTGCAAATAACACATGCCGGCTTAAGCTGTTTCGCAGGTTGCAATTTTCCATTTCTGGACTGATGTTGTTTACCTGAATTTAATAGTAATTTACGTCTTGTATCAATCCACTTGTCTTTATTTCTCAATCGCCTTTTCTTTGATCTATCAATACTGAACTGACGTCTTTTTCTACCGTTTAACGATGAAGGTGTAGAACATTCACGTGATGCTTCCACCGCCGAAGAAGCATCACTAGTGTTGCTTATAGAAGATTGACAGTTTGAAATTAGTGACATACTCGATGGCCTGCCTGAGTTTATTAAGCAGATATTTGGATCTAATTCTGATAATGGACGCGGCGGACTTGAAGTAAATGAGTTGTATTCTGAAGAAATAGAAATAGAAATAGAAACTTTTTTATTCAATGTAGATTATAAAAATACTTATTGAAGGTCACTTTTTTAATTTACCACTGGTTCGCAAAAAAAAAACCTCTGTCCTGGGAAGAACCAGCAAGAAACCCAGCGGGACTATTTTTTTCCAATAATAGCTTACAATCATGTTTACAATCAACAACACAAGACAAATTAGAAATAGCTTGGTAGCGATCACCCTTCCCAGGGGTTATTATCATCTATAAATTCCTTAATATAATAACCCTTTTTATACAAACTTAGTTTAATAACATTTTTGAACTTTGTGTATGACAAATTTTGTATATTTTCTGGGATTTTGTTGTAAAAGCGTATACATCGCCCCAAGAATGAATTACTGACTCGGTGGAGTCGAGTAACTGGTACTACCAGCTTGTGTCTGTTCCTAGTATTTACAGAATGAATATCACTTATTTTCGCAAAACTACTTTTATTTTTGTGTACGTACATTACATTTTCATAAATGTATTGAGAGGCCAGAGTTAATATATTAATTTCTTTAAATTTTTGTCTCAGTGACTCTTTTGGTTTTAAATTATATATTGCTCTAATGGCCCTCTTCTGTAAAATAAATATAATTTCAGTGTCAGTCGCGTGGGTTTTTTTTTTCATTAAGATAAATTTTTTTAAATGCGTTTTTTTTTTGAAAAAAAATTATTTCCATATGCTTGGATACCGATTCTGATAACGCAGTTAACGGGAACCACAGGGTTTTTGTTACATATTGTATATAGCTAACAATAAGAATTAACATAGGTAGGTACTCATAAACATAACAAACAATACTAATTTACAAAAGTAAATTGAGACATCTACATCACAATCGCAACGTAGAAAAAGCTTTTTTTTTTTTTTTTTTTTTTATAGAAGAGGGGGCAAACGAGCATGTGGCTCACCTGATGTTAAGTGACTACCGCCGCCCATGATCAACCGCAACACCAGGGGAATTGCAGGTGCGTTGCCGGCCCTTTAGAAAGGAGTAAGCTCTTTTCTTGAAGGTCCCCAGGTCGTATCGGTTCGGAAAAATCACCGGTGGTAAATTATTCCACAGAGAGGTTGTACGCGGAAGAAAACTCCTTTTGAAACGTACAGTGGTGGACCGCCAAGCATCCAGATGGTGTGGATGGTATCGGGACGTTTGCCGTGTAGTGCGTTCACGAAATTTGGCGGCTGGGATTAATCCGAACAATTCCTCAGAGCACTCCCCGTGATAGATGCGATAAAATACGCAAAGAGATGCAACATCTCTTCGCAGCGCCAGTGAATCGAGCCGATCGGAAAGCACTCGGTCGTCGACGATTCGAGCCGCTCTGCGCTGGATGCGGTCAAGTGGAAGGAGCTGGTACTGGGGAGCCCCAGCCCAGAGATGGGAACAGTATTCCATGAGCGGCCGAACCTGCGCCTTGTAAAGTTGCAGGCGGTGTGCCGGCATGAAATACTGTCCCGCTCTGCTGAGCACGCCAAGCTTTTTAGAGGCCAATTTGGCCTTCCCTTCCAAGTGACCACGAAACTGCACGTCACTCGATATGTCGACGCCGAGGATTCCGATACTGGCTGAGGCAACAAGGGGAGTGCCTTGAAACTGAGGGGATACGACAAAGGGGTTCTTTTTAGCGGTTAACGCGCAAACTTGTGTCTTCTGGGGGTTAAACTGGACTAGATTTAGTCGCCCCCCAATCCGAGACTCTGTCCAGCAGAGACTCGACTTCAGACACAAGTTTGTCCCGGCACTCAGAGACGTTTTCCCGAGAAATATTTGCTCGGCCGGTGTAAAGAGCATCACCAGTGCTGTCATCTGCATAGCAATGAATGCTACGGGTTTGCAACATATCATTGATATGCAGAAGAAACAGCGTTGGCGATAGCACGCAGCCCTGTGGAACACCAGCATTAATAAGCTTGCAATCGGAGCTTGCACCGTCTACAACGACCTTGATGCTCCGATCTGCAAGAAAACTGGTGATCCAATCGCACAATTTCTCGGGAAGCCCATAGGAAGGGAGCTTCGAAAGAAGCGCTTTGTGCCAAACCCGATCGAAGGCCTTCGCAATGTCCAAACTAACGGCCAATGCCTCCCCCTTGGACTCTACTGCCTCCGCCCATCTGTGAGTTAGGTAGACCAGAAGATCACCAGCTGACCTACCACGGCGAAAACCGTATTGGCGGTCACTAATCAGCTGGTGATCCTCAAGGTACCTCATGAGCTGGCAGTTTACAATGGACTCCATTGTTTTGGAGAACAAGGAGGTGATGGCGATAGGCCGGTAGTTGGACGGGTCTGAGCGGTCGCCTTTTTTAGGGATCGGGTGGACGAAAGCCGTCTTCCATGATTTTGGGACTACGCCTAGGGAGTAGGAGTACCGGAAAAGACGCGTTAAAACCGGTGCCAACTCTGGAGCACACGTCCTCAGCACAATTGGGGGGATTCCATCAGGCCCACTCGACTTATGGATGTCCAGGGAGAGGAGTGCTTTGCGAACCGAGCGCTGAGTGAAGTGCACTTCCGGCATGGAGCACTCACACCGCGGGATGGTCGGCGGCGTACTCCCCCCGTCATCGAGAGTCGAGTTAGACGCAAAGAAAGAGCCTAGAAGATCGACTTTCTCCTTTGCGGTGTGGGCCAGTGAGTCGTCCTCCCTGTGCAGAGATGGAAGAGATGGCTGACAGAAATTCCCCTGGACAGCCTTGGCGAGAGACCAGAATGCACGGGTTCCAGAAGGAAGACGAACTAGTCTCTCGCCAATTCTGCCTATGTGCTCTGACTTTGCCTTGGCAATGACTCTTTTGAAGGACCTAGAGGCGGAATTATACTTCTTTTTTAGAGCGCTGGTGTTTACATCCCTGGACGCTGATGCGTCAGCCCAGGCTTGGTAGCACTCCTGCTTATAGCATGATGCTATTTTACAGGAGCGACCAAACCATGGCTGAGATTTGCCTCCAATGGGCACCACAGAGGAAGGAATAAAAAGTTCCATACCCTGAAGTACCACATCAGCGACAGAATCCGCAACAACGTTGGGATCATCCGGCGAGAAGCAAACCCGCCCCCAAGGGTAGGATGCAAAGAAAGACCGCATCCCATCCCAATCAGCTGACCTATAGTGCCAAACACGGCGGCAGCCTGCAGAATGCAACCGCGATTTCAGCGTGAGTGGCACCACACTCCGGACAAGACAATGATCCGAGGAGCCTAAAGGGGCGTCGACGGAAATCTGATATCCGTCCGGGTGAGAGGTCAGCAGAAGGTCCAACAGGGAAGGTGCATGATCCTCCACATCTGGAATCCGCGTAGGCGAAGTAACCAGTTGTGTCAGACCATATGCCAAGGCAAAATCACGAACAGATCTCCCCGCATGATCGGTTAAACGTGAACCGAGCCATTCGGCGTGATGGGCGTTGAAGTCGCCGAGGATCACGATCTCTGCGGAGGGGATCTGCTGTAGCAACGAATCTGCAGCCATTTGGACGTGGTCGAAGAGTCGGTCTGTTTCGGCATTACCGCTATGGGACCTATAGAGGCACCCGTAGACGCGCGGATGGTCGTCGCTGTCTACGCGTAGCCAAAGGATGGACAGGTCCGAACCTTCAAGTCTGCCGAGGCGTCGAGAACAGATGTCCTCTCTGACGTAAACGCAAACTCCAGCCCTAGGCACAAAGGAGTGTTCCAGTTTGTACCCCGGGTAGGAGAGATACGAGACATCAGCCGGAGAGGACACCTGCGTCTCGGTCAGAAAGAGCAGAGCCGGCCTCGCCGTCTCGAGATGGTAGTGGACGGCGTTTAGGTTAGAGTGAAGTCCCCTGATATTGCAGAAATTCACGGACAGCGTGGCAGGGGTCGCCTTGGTCTTGTTGCTCCGTTTGCCCCGAGCAGTTTTAGTCTTGAGCGGAATATTGCCCCCCCAGAATACGCGGGGCAGCCTGAGCACCCACGCTCAGAAGTGAGGAGAAACATGGTCGTGGATGCTCAGCGAGGGATTCTCCAGGGGTGCTGGTACCCTCCTGGGGTAGTCTATCATTTAATTCCGCTACCATGTTGATGGGGGGGGGGGGGTTTGGGCCTCCGGCCCCCTGCACTCACCAGACGAAACGCGGAAGCAGAGCTTCCACTTCACGCCGGTATTCTGTGAGGTCGTGGTACCACCCCGGTTTGAGCCGGCCCATACGTGCGACAGCAAAGCTGCCGCGTGGCTCTACCACTGTTAGAATACAACTAATATAATAATAAACTGCTATATGGCAGATAGCCGTTTATGCGTCGTTTCGTAAAAAAAATATCAATGATAACCTATTTTCATAATTACAAAAACTAATTATGATTTAACTTCAAAATAACAATAAAATTAAACTTGTATTATAAAAAATACGTACCAGAACTAGTTTCACGGTTGTTATCGATAAGTTGTAATAGATCTTCTCGGTTCATAATATCGCATTGTCGTCCCGTTTTGCCCAAATTCACCAATAATTTACGTCTTTCCATGTCTTTTGTGTTGAATTCAAACTGTTTACTAATATGATAACACTTTTACACACACTATAACACTTAACAAATCAAAACAAACAAATATTCGTGCCGGCCGGCGAAGCACGTCATCTGACTGATGACGCAATATGACTGACCGCTGGCCCCCCGCGCATCCCGCGTATAAACGGTCAGCGGTAGTTGTCCGCATCTACATCGTGCAATTTCACAAAACAGGCGTAGTTGTCTTCTTTTACGTGACAAAAGTACCAAAAATAAGGTGATATTTATATTTTTGTTTTTGCTATGTTGTAGAACATGATATTTTAAGTTAGTTTTTACAAAAAACCAAAAATCTCAAAATTGCAGTTAACTTTTTTTACTTTGCACCCGTCGAAACAAAAAGATCAATTAGAATCCGCGTAAAAGAACATATATCTGATGTAAAGCATCAACGTTCCGGGAGGTCTGCAGACTGTGATCATATCTTTGACCTTGTCACTTCATAGGGTCACAGGCTAGGGTGGATATGATTTCAATTTCGATACATTTTAATCTGTTTATTTATGTAATACAAAATATTTGTTTTTATATTTTTTCATTTGTTAAAATTTTTTAAGCGTGCAATTTTAATTAGACAATCTACTGTGATCACCAGTCCTTGCGAGGCGTAACAATTATGGCCAATTTTTAAAATGGAAGAAGTAATTTCAGGACTGTTACGGCCTATATGAAATTTAGCTGGAAGTACATCGTGGAGGATTTCTTTCACTAGTTATTATTTATAATAAGTTAAAAAAATATGTTCAAAAGCCATAATTAAAACTGATCTGAACTTTTTTAAGAGTTATGAAGCAAATAGTTCGCTGCATTTCGTCATTTCGAGAACTTAGAAAAAACACTACATAGATACTACATACAACAATAATTATAATTAAGAATGAAATAATTAAAAATAATTTATTGAGTTCTCATGTTTTTTTTTTTCACCGTCATAATGTGTATGTACACATTGTAAAGCAGGAAATACTTAAAAACTTGAAATTGCACTTGTGTCGTTCGCTTTCTAAGACATAAGACCCCGAGTGTTTTTATTTTTGTTAACTACAAAGTAACAATTTAACTTACAGTCCACCTGATTGGAGGAAAAGTTAGAGGTGTGTTGTCATTGCTGAAAAAAAAAGTTATGGATGCGTGGTCATATCTATAAAAGAAAGTTACCGGTGCGTTATGATTTCATGTCTTACAGTCTATAACGATATAGGGTCTCTTACTCCTCAAATCAGTAGGTAAGAGCGTATTGATTCCATTGGACTTCTAGGCTGAAGCTTAGCAGAGCCTCACATCATAAAACCCAGTTTTCTTTCTCAGGTATCATCAAGTAAAACCCAGGAGACAGGCGAATCCATAATCGATGTGTTCAGGAGCACGCCGCTCCGAAACATGATGATTTTCATGATCATGATCTACATGGCGTGCGCGCTGTTATTCGACGGCCTCGTGCGCATGTCTGAAGGACTGGGTTTTGACTTCTTCCTCGCGTTCACCCTCACCTCGGCGACGGAAATACCGTCCATGACTTTGCTCGTGATTTTACTCGACAGGTTTGTTGATTTTATTACATCAGGACGTCAAACACCTCAGCTCCTCCCGTGATCATGGGTGTTTTAAAGTTCCCAAAACGCCGGGAATGAAAAAAGTTAAAATTAAACGCGATAAAATCCGTATAATTAATTTTATTTCATTGCGGTACCTATATCCAAATTCGGACTTGTAAGAGTAGGTGGAGAAAATTGTAGAGATAACTAAAGCCTTATTCATTCACAGGTGGGGTAGAAGAAAATTAACAGTTGGTCCTATAGCCTTTGCTGGAACTTTTACGTTTATTGCAGCATTTATGTCAAAAGGTAAGATATTATCTATAACTGATAAATTGTGGCGTGAGGAGTCTATATCGTTGAGGACTTTTAAGTAAAAATGAATTTCGGCTTATAAATCACTATATTTCTATGTTATAAAGCCATGCTGCAGCTATTTTATGATTGTATAATTGTAGCACGAATGGGTCGGCTCCATTGGGGAAGATATACGTTCTCACAGAGTACCAGTTGTAAAAGAGCAGCCTAATACTGCTATTTGAGTATGGTATGGTACATGCGTACGGTGAGTGTATAGAAACGGAGACCCTTTTTACTGGAAACGAGGCATTTCATCTTAACCGAGGATAGATGTAGAATATCTATGGGCCACAATATCCAGTACTATCATGTGGACTGTGTGCTCATTTGTCCCCCATATTCTTTAAAAAAATATAAAAATTTCGATACTAGATTGAATCGGTTAATCAAGAAACACTCCGAATGAAGAGTATCGAATCTCGAGTAAGACGTGAACCTGTGACCTCGCGTATATTGATGAACGCGATATATTCTAGGCTTAGAGTATAAATGTTAAATTAAATTTATATTTATATTGTTTTAAAATAATATTTCTAGCCTTAGGTAGAAGTAGAATGTATATTCTAAGATTATATAACTGTGTTGCTAGAATAACTGCACGTAAATGTTCGTCTGTGTAGGTCATCCCCTCCAAAGTCAGAGCGGCCTGATCTGAACACACATCACAACACAACATCAATAAAGCTATGAGTATTAATTATTTAAACACAATATTTTTTAAACTGGCAGATGAAATTGAAATAATTAATATAATTAAAAACTTAATAATATTAATTCAGTAGGATTAGATAACGTAAATACAAAAAAATTATTTATTTATATTTTAATTCCGACGTTTCGGGCGCTTTCCAGCACCCATGGTCACGGGGGACTACGTCGGGAATTAAAAATAAAAGTAAATAAAAAGTAAAAGTAAACGCGATAAAATCCGTAAAAGTAGTTTTAATCATGTATAGTGTTCGCGTAAATATAAGAAATCATTACAAAAACCCTTATTTTAGAAGGGAGAGGCTATCTTTCTTGATATGACTAAAGCTTTCGATTTCGTAGTCCATAAATTATTACTATATAAGCTTGAAACATACGGAATCAGGGGTAAAGCACATGACTGACTGGAGAGTTATTAGACTGGTCACGAACAGTGCAAACAGGTTGCTAAAATTCAAAAGGGCAATAAAATTACAAGCAGATCTCGTTTACAAAATAATAAATACGGAGTCCTACAGGGAAGTGTTTTAGGTCCTTTTTTATTTCTAATATACATTAATGATCTTCCAAACGTCACTGATCACGAAACTTACACGGATCTAAGCTATTTATTTTAACATCTTTAATGTAATTGATTACTGCAAAGTAACGTCGGACTCCATTAATATATAATATTCCACTTAGATGCTTTATATACGTCGCAGCTAACTAGCTTAATCAGCTGTTCAATCAACAGCCTAGCTTCTTTACTAAACAGTGCCGTTCAACTAGGCCTAAATGATATTTAGTCATTTGATCAAAGAGCTAGGCACATGATTGGATCGATGACGTTTCATAATTTGCCTAGCCTGTTCATTACAGTTTAGTTCCACTTTCTGCCACCTAGCACTGAAACTCTCCAAACTGTCAATATGGCATTGGCAAACAACAAATTTGATGGTGTTTTCCAAAGTTTAATAAAAATAGTACAAACTGTCGCAGACAACTAGTTAAATTAGCCGTTCAATTAACAGCTTAGCCTTTTTATGTTAAACTAGGGGCCGGAATGATATTCAGTCGCTGCATCTAATACAATATTGCAATTATCTTGTAATATCAGCATATATTTATATAATATAGCGCATAGTGCATCATTAGGCATGAAATGTTATATTCGATGCATTGGCCGAAACGCATGTGCTGAATATCATTTAGGCCGCTAGTTGAACGGCGCTGTTTCATCCTATCGTAGGAATGGCCTAAGCTTTAGCGAGCCAGTTTGTTGTAACAAACGCTATGGCTGAATATCACTTAGGGAGCTAGTTGGACGGCACTGTTTAGTTAAAAGGCTCGGCTGTTAATTGAAAGGCTGATTAAGCTAGTTAGCTGCAATATATACATGACAATAAATCCTCATCTTATTACTTAAAATAATCAGATGGTGTGAATATAATTACTTTTTTGTTACTTAAAAGATTTATATTCAGTTTAACTACTAAGAAAAATAATGCAGGGGAGCTAACAAAGGACTCGGTAGGGGGGAAAGGTTGAATAGTATAATATGGCGTCATCGGCTGCACCAGGGCTGCCGCAAGTGATCCTGGCGATAGTGGCGCGGTTCGCGGTGAACATGGCGTACGGTGCGGTGGTGCAGTGGTCCGCTGAGCTGGTGCCTACGGGCGCGCGCGCCTCCGGCTCCTCACTGGTGCACGTCAGCGGCTACGTCGCCACCATGCTGTCGCCCTTCATCGTCTACTCGGTACCTATACCCTTGCGTTTTTACATTCAAAGACTTTTATGTATACTACTAGATTTACATTACGGTACCTACACATTGTGCACTAAGTTACGGTCAATTCTCCTTAACTTCTTTAATCGTCTGCGAGCGGGCAAGAAGACCAGTTCTTTGAGTAATCCACGAACGTTGCTTTCGACAATATAATACTGATTTTGTGATTAAGAAAATTCTATAATTACCTAGCTACCTAGCAATGGTGATATTTTTTGTCTTGTCTGGTGAAAACTTAGATGCTGCAACGAGTCGATATTTACCCGTGTTGTAATTTACAACGTGCACAATGAGCACCGATGGAGATTCTGAAACCAACACAAAATTAAAGAACACGTACGTGCATAAATTCTGTTGCTGCTTTTGCACCCTGTGTATGGCTTATATCGCGACACTTAGTAAGCAAATATAGTTAATTCTGCATGAAAGATGTATTAGATTAAGTTTTTCAGTAGTGAAGTACATGAAAGTTTGTACGGACATCTCTTAGTTCTATTGTAGTTTTTAAAAACACCTCTCCACCGCTCCCGTTAACTTTACTGGCGCAGCCGGTAGGATCGGATTCCTGAAAATGCCGACAATTTCGCTCTTGGGTAGGGAAGAATCGTGGATTCAACCCCACACAGAGTGACACAAGTACGTGCATACATAGAATTATTAGGCTTAGAACCGTAGCAGGCGCACGCAAAGTGAAGCCGTTTCAAGTTAAGCGGGCTACATACGACACGATATCGGTGGCGATCTAGGGTGGAGTAGTGGGGATGCCTCCTAGATTGCCTCTAAATCGTGTCGTATGTAGGGCCATCCTAAGTCGTGGCCGATATCGCCTCCTTAATCGGCTGGCAGGAGCAAAAATGCTTCCTAGATCAGCCGATGCTTCCTAGATCGGGGCACCGCCTCCTCCTTACTGCGTGTGTGTAGGCGCATCGGCCCGATTTCTTTTGGCAGTCGCTGCCGGCAACCCTCGCGGAAGGAAGTTAACAAAACAGTGATACTGAATGACCTTTTTTATATAACAAAATTTTTACATTTTAATCATATAAACGGAGTAGAAGCCTATGGCACTGATGTTTTACAAAAAACCAAAAAAAAGTGAATAAAATAAATAAATTAATTGAAATTTTATCGAAATTCAAATCATATCCACCCTAGCCTGTGACCCTGCGAAGTGACATGGTCAAGAATGCCTACTAAACTAATTTTTTTATTGCCGTTCGTAAAGTAGAGTGTATGATGTAAGTAAGGAGAAGATAAAGCCTCTCCTCAACAACTAACTCCTATTCCAACGCTATCAACACAAGACCGCACTCATATCTCTTACAACTCCACAAGACCACACTTCGATCTCTTACGTGCCTTCATCCTCTTATCAACAACTAACTTCTACTCCTTCACCATCTCCACATCAACAAACAAGTTATATAAAAGGGAGTATGTCCGAAATTAAAGGTTTCTTTATGTTTAAAAAAAAGATATAAGCTATTTTATTTTCTGATAGTTTTACTCCATAAATAAAGATTACATAAAAAAAAAGTATACATATTATTATACAAAAGTATTTTATTTCCTTGTTTGTTGTGTGTAATACATAACCAGATTTTGACCAAAGCAGAAATGAACAAAGAGAAGAAATAACTAAATAGCATAGGTAGGAGAAATTGACGTTTTTATATAAGTGGCGAAATCATTTCTAGAAGGTTATAAAAACTGTCTTCATCCATCCGGAGAAAATTAATCACGTCCTTGGATTACAGGCCATTTAGTACGTTTATGTGGCTTAATTTTTATCTCTTTTGGAGCCATTTTTTCACCCAGCAACTTCTCTTTTTCTATTTTCGAATAAATTAACCGAGATGGCTAATGCCAAACCAACACGGTGGTGTTTTAAGAGAGTCGGAGGATTTTGAAGAACTCTACCGCATATGCATTCCGCTCCAAGTCCGAACGCGTACTGCTAGGCAGGCCCGTGTGTAAGGTCTACCCCGATAAAAGCCCCGATTTCTTTCCACCCTAGATCGCCACCGATATCGTGTCGTATGTAGCCCGCTTGCCTTTTAAGGCTAAGTACGACTTTCAGCGTGTCGGTACTCGAATCCACGTAGTCGTATAAAGAGCTCGCGCCATTTTGCAAAAAAAACAACTTACTGTGCTTTAAAAAGGGTGTCACAACTCATCACATAATCATGAAAAAAATCTAAAAATCTCATTTCACTGGTAATTACTGCCTAGCATCTTATATTTTTATAAAAAACATTCAGCAAAACAAAATAATAAATCTTAAATTTGGCAGACGCCAATATAACGAAAATGTTACTAGGCATAGTAAAATATTTTACCCCATATTTTCTTATTATTAGAATTACATACTGCCAATATGGGACTATTATTGTTATATTTTTATTTGACAAATAAAAATACCTACAATATTCACGCATGAGTAGGTATATTTAATTGCCAAATACTATTAGGGTTCCCACTTGCCAAGAAAAAAAATGTGTTGATTTTATTTTGTTATGTTAATGTGCAGTTATTTTTATCTTTTTTATAGTATGTGTTTTAGGATAAATACCCTATGAACATTTTTTTAAATTCTAATAATGAATTACATACCTTCGCCATTTCCAAAAAAGACGATACGTGTTACCACTAGCCAACAGTGGTTTATTAAATTATGGTGAAGATAATAGTTAACATTTAGCGGAATGTGCCTAAGAAATACATAAACATAATACATACTCTCGAAAACCATGACGGCCGCGACGTTCAGGTGATAATATCTACATTAGGTAAAATTAACGTAATATAAAAATGTAAAAAAAAAGACGTGTGGCACTCTGGGACTGCCGCGGTAAAGCTATTGCATAGCATTTTTTATCAACTTATGCAATTATAATTAATTATTTATTTTATTTATGCAGTTAAGTCTTTGATAGTAAATCAAGTTACACTTTTTGAGCGTGGTGACCGATAAGAAAACAAATCTGAACCAGAATCATAAAAACTATTATTCGGGCTAAACGAATCTAATAAAGATCTATTATTTTTGTCTCCTGCGAAAAAAACAGACTATATGAATCTATCGAATACCTACAAAAACAAAATATCACCTATAAATAAAATATTACGAAGCGGAATAACTAATAAGAGTGGCAACGTCGCACTATACAAAGGAATTGCGTTAAGACGACACCTCGAAAGGGGCTATCGCCGGACGCCGAGTGAATGCATAATTTCTATAAAAACTTGAAAAAACGCCCTCATAAGGTCTAAAATAGCGTAGCGCCCGCGACGATTAAAAGCGCTTAGAAATTCTCAGAAACTTTAAAATATTTTTGTAAAAATTATTGATTTGAGTAATCAAAATAATGAGCAAGTAAATTATGAATATTAATGTTATGAATATATTTGAGTGATTTCGAAGCATATAGATTAAGTAATTTCGTTGTAATTTCAACTATAGTGGTTTTTTAGAGGTGTTTTCGCAAATAATTATGATCGAGTCAAAATTATACTATCGTGTTTTTGAGCAATCAAATTCAAGATAAAGACATGAATTTACCTATATCAAAATATCACTTCCCTTAGTGGTGTCATAGTCCTATCAATTATTTTATTATTATAATAGTACATGATATTCCCTTTAAAATGACACCAATATGAATAATATCTTATATCTATATCTACAAATAAATAAAATTGAAGTGTCTGTTTGTAATGTTAAAATAACAGCTTTTTATTAAATGCATATGAAAGTACTAGTAACAAAAACACACTTTTTAAATTTTTTGTCTGCTTGTCGGTCTGTCTGTCTGTTTGTTCCAGCTAATCTCCGAAACAGCTGATGATATAAGGAATAACGAACTACTTTTGTTTTCGAAAAAGAATTAGGGTTCCGCGCAAAAAAATTAAAATCCATGAAATCCATATTCCACGCGGGCGAGATCGCGGGGAATAACTAGTACTCAATATAGATAAATGTATACTTATTTTTATTTATTTATTATTTTAATAAATAAATAAAAATAAGTATTAATAATTTCTAGACACATCTCAACAGATATTTCGTTAATAAATTGCTATCAATACTGAAGCATTCTTTTATATTTAGCATCCATTTAACACAAAAAAAAACCGATAAGAATACTTTTTAAACAACATATAATCAATAAACGATAATCGCTTATAGTGAATTTCGAGGTAAATTATTATATGTAAACGTTTTTGAATCGTCGTAATGATACATATTTCCTAAAGAAAATATCTCCACAATTAATTTGATGTAAAATAACATTAGAAATAACGTATAAAAACGGAGAAATTATCAAATTTTTGATCGAGTTCCTAACCAGTACACAAACAAAAATGGCGAATAGTCATTTTCACATTTTTTTAGAAATAACGTATAAAAACGGAAAAATGATCAAATTTTTGATCGAGTTCCTAACCAGTACACAAACAAAAATGGCGAAATATCATTTTCACATTTTTTTTCTATATAGTTATTTGTTACAGAGTACACAGATAAAATTCACTCTCATAGATGACAAATTTCAAACACCACAATCTCTAATTTTTTACTCTGCTATTGTTACGGCCTCTAATTACCCGGGCAAAGGTCGTAAAACCCGGAGCCCACCAGGGGTTCAACTCGACAAGTAACAGGAGGTCATCCTAAATGGCTTGTGGAATATGAGACAATAGCGGTAAAAAGGAACCAAACAAGACTTACCTATTTCGTCGACGTAGGGTCAAACCTAGGAAGATTCAGGTGTAAGTATATGTGTGTGATAGTGTTATACTCAGTACGTGTTATATTATGTAACCTGACTTTCCGCTGGTTGCCGAACAGCAGATCCCAAGGCTTCACCTCTATTCCAGTATGGGATCCATCGAAGGGGCAAGCCGTCACAGAAACTTCAGAGTCTAGGAAATTACGCTCGTTTATCACTCATTAATTATAGTGAAGTCAA